TATATATATATATATATATTAAAATTTTAAAATTATTAAATTTTTAATGAGAAAGACTAAAATTGCACAATTATGATATTTGAGAGATTAAAATTGTTCAATTAAAAATTGTGAGACAAAAATTACACAACTATAATCTTTTAAGGACTGAAATTACTCAATTAAAACTTTAGATATCAAAATTGCATAATTATAATATCAAAAACACAATTAAGTAAAAAATATTTTATTTACAGTTTTGGAACGGGCCGTTCTGAGTCCAGAACGGCCCGTTCTGAGTCCAGAACGGCCCGTTCTGAAAGCAGAACGGGCCGTTCTGATTGCAGAATGGCCCGTTCTGAGTCACTGGTGGTGTTTTAATTTTGCAACCAGAACGGCCCGTTCCGGTTTTAGAACGGGCCATTCCGGTCCAAGTGTTTTCAAAAAAGTTCTCATCCACGTGGATGCCACGTGTGCATCTACGTGGCATCCACGTGGCCAAAATTAACTCCGTTTAAATAATTTGGACGGAAGTCCCACATTGAAACTAATTAATTAATTTGGGACTAAATTGAAACCAATTAATTAGTTTGGGACCAAATTGAGACCAAAAATTAATGAGGGACTAAATTGAAACAAAAAAAGATTATAAGGGACCAAATTAGGTTTTTAGCCTATTATCAAAGGAGGAAGATATATATCAGGGGACATTGTACTACTAGAATAAAGAATCAGTGAAGTTTGACTTGTTGGATTGGTTATGTATTCAATCAGAAAGGTCAAATCAATTCAATCATAAAGATATTTCTCATCATTTTAAAAAAAATCAAAGGAAATCACAACATGAAAATCAAACCCTCCGCATAAAGAGAGTGAAGAACCTTATCAGACATCACAATGATCACTTATTTTAATATATTTATTTGTAATATATACAACTTAAATAATTTTTATATTATATTATTAATTTTAAATTAGTTTGATCCATTATCAACAATTAGAGAACAAATTTTCTCTAGAATTTTACATTTTGTATGAAAGATGTTTTCTCTTTGTAAAATGCTAATTTCACAAGGTTGACTTCCAAAAAGTCTTCAAATCAATAAGAAATCATCATTATAAGGATAACATTCTCTTTCTTAGAATTTATCCCCCCTCTCTCCCTCCTTCTTTTTCACTTCCACTAGATGTGGAGGAAGAAGATGTAATCTTTTCTTGCTACTATAGTGATATAAGCCCCCCATGATGATGGTCTTTTGTGGGACATTAAGAGGTAATGTGACATCTCCTTAGAAACTTAAAACACTTAATACTACTAGTCCAGGAATTAATGTTAGAGGTTTCCTTCTCATAAAAGAGATTGTTTTTCTAACTCTTTTCTTTTGATGGTTCACTCTCAAAGTAACTCTTAGAAGATTATTCCTACTTTCTATGGTCATTTCTATGGTATGAAGATGATGATGATGAATCCTTCTTGTGAGAAGTTTTTCTCAATGATTGTTGCTATACCTTGATACACAATTGGACCAAGTCGTTAAAGTCCATATATGGTAAGAACTCAACATTGTCTTTAATCTCATGACTCAAGCCAATAAGAAACCTTGGAGAGTACTATGGCCCACACCCCCTTCTCAACCAGTTATGCTCCCAACATGTGGCCCTCACACATGGAGACTTTCCCAGCCACTTCTATCAATATCAAGCCTTTAGAACCTTTATCATTCGTTCCTCTTACTCCTTCAAATTCTGCAGACCCTAACCTAAAATGTTACTAAAAGGCCAACCCAATCTCTTCCCACTAGTGCAAAAATTGGATTTAAAATCAGAGTTTTAAGATCGGTTACAAGGTAACCGATCTTAAAAGTACTTTTAAGATCTGTTATTTTATGACCGATCTTAAAAGTGCTACTTTTAAAATCGATTATTTCAAAACCGATTTTGTATGTAGTATACAAAATCGGTTCTTAAATAACAGATTTTAAAAGTATCGTCAGAAACTTTTATATTTCCCTTCATTCTCATTCTCTTTAATCTTTCCCTCCATTCCTTTTTTTCCTCTCTTTTTTTCTTTTTCTAAAGTCTCCAATAAGGTAAATTTCGTTTTCGTTTTCGTCTTTTCATTCTCTTCTTTTGTCTCTTTTCGTTTTCTCATGCTCTTCTCTTGTCTCTATTTTCGTTGTAGGTTCATTTTGGGTAAATTTTGAATTTGGAACGACCCGTTCTCCTTGCAGAACGACCCGTTCTGCTTGCAAAACGGCCCGTACTGCAAGTAGAACGCGCCGTTTTGATGTCTGTTCTTCTGGAACGGCCCGTTCCAGTTTAATTTTTTTTCAAGGCCTGGACTTTTAAGATCAGTTATAAAACAACCGATCTTAAAAGTCTAACTTTAAAATCGGTTACAGAACCGATTTTAAAAACCTTTTTTCCACTAGTGTCCACACAAACCAACCAACAACTCCAACCTTAACGACAAGGTTTTAGTGGAGTCAATGATGATTGTTTGACTGCAAACCTAAAACACTAACTAGCCAGCTAGAGCAACAAAGAAACCCACTTGATTGAAAGACCTCATTTATAAAAATAATACTTTCTAATCAATTTATAGTATTTTGTTTTCAATAAAAAAGGGTTTTTCTTATTGGTCCACGTGTAGGACCATGATAACTCTTAGTTTGTTATATAATTAATAGTCAATTTTTTTTATTAAGTCTCAAATAGTTTGGCTCTAGGTATTCCTTCTTTTTCCTAGTGTTGAACAACTTCAACCTTACAGTAAACCTCGATGTTTACTTGATAAATATGATTTATATAGTATTTTTACAATATAATTTTTGTTTTAATTTTTAGTGAATTGTGTGAATATGTTTTTTAATTGTGTCATAATGATGTTAATATTGGTTTATATAGTTACTGGTATAATTTGTGTGTTTTGTAGGTTTTTAGGAGAAAAGATGAAGTAAACTAGGTGAAAAAGGTGTGAAGTTGAATTTGTCATCTAAAGTTGAGCATTTGAGCTAAGCGTCAAGGTTGGGATTAAGTGCCAAGACAAATGCTCAACACCAAATAAGGTTGGGATTAAGTGCCAAGACAAATGCTCAACACCAAACCCTTTGGAAGGAGACCTTTTTGTGTTAAAAGTGATGTTTAGTGTCATCTTAATCAAATGAGCACCAAAATGCATAACTGTTATGAAGTGTAATTAATTTAAATAGTTTTGGGTAGTTTTGTGGGGTTAAAAATGTTACAAAAAAGAACTGAGATAAGAACTTTAAGATTTAGAGCCTTTTATGTCAATTCTTCATTCTTTTCATCTAGTTTTGATTTTTTAACCATATTTAGGAGTAGCCAAACTCCATTCTTGTAGGGGTTAGTTGTAAATATTCCTTCTCATGTATTTCTCTTGATAAATAAATTTATCTTTCTATATTTCTATTAGCTTACTTGTATAATATTTATATCTTAATATGACTTGATCACTCATGAATTAATTATAAGTTGAAAGTTTAATTGAAAAAGTATTTTTGGTGGAAACTGAATTAAACACTTAAAATCATTTAATTGCTAGGAATAAAGTTAAATGATTTTATTATATAATAATCCTTTTGTTCATTGCATGTTCTTTATTTAAGTTACTAAGAGATTAGGGACTTACATACGATCTTAGGCCCTTTTTGGTAAAAATTATGATTAGGGTAATATTGAGATTTTTAGGTCCTTTTCGGTAAAGAATTACGATTAGTGCAATATGACATAAAGATAACAAGAACATGATATAATAATTGTAAGTTATATTGAGATTGTTGCAGTTACAATCTAAACCCAACATATTTAAATCCATTGTCAATTATCTTTTTGCATATCAATTGTTCTATTAAATATCCTTTCATACTCTTAATACATTTGACGCTTCAATTCAATTGTAATTTCACTTAATTAATGATGAATAGATATTGAAACAAACCCATTGACAATGATATTTACTCATATGGTCTACTTATTAAAACTGTACAATTGCCAATAGTCTCAAAAGAGATTAACAATACTCTCTTTTCTACTTCACTATGTTTATGAGGGATCAAATGAGCAACTCTTAAATATATTTGGAATGATTCGATTTCTCTTATATATTCTAGATTTTGAGATGATAATATATATTACCCTATTGTCCTTCATTAATGTGAGAAGTGTATTATCTTTTAGACTTAGATTTGGTATCACAAAATGAAGCATGAATGGATCTTTTCGGGAAGATGCATGATTTATAAAACCTATGATGAAAAAAGGAAAAAGTTATGCATCAACAGTTTACATTGCCATTTAATCACTTCACAATACGGTGAATTTGTTGAATTTTTTAATAATTACTTTAAAAATAATATAAAAAATATTTTTTTATTAATTGATAATATAAAAATTGTTACACTAATAGTTAGGAGTATAAGCAAGTCAAGTTGGGTCAAATTTGAACTATTTTAATCATTTAAACTTAATTGGGCTGAGTTGGATTGGATTTGTGATTTTTTTTAAGTAATCCACCCCAACCCATCTAGAATCTGGCTCAAGTTGAGTAATTAAAATTTAATATATTCCAAAAAAATAATAAATAAATAATCAAAAAAATACATACACCATTCAAATTTAATAAATGATATAAAGTACAAACAACAATTACAAATGTCTTAAATAAGAAAACATTAAGTCACTAATTAACATATTTGTTACATTTTTGTTTTGTGAGTTAGTAAGGAGTTTTATCGGTGAGTAACTCTCGCAAATCTTTAACTTTTAAGTTTCAATAAAAAAAAAATAAAGGAGATAATAGTTGAAGTAACTTAAAAGTACTAGTATTAATAAGTTAAGTTTATTAATAAGTGGTAATAGAATAGATTAATAGTTTAATATGTATTTTGTAATTTGATTTACATATATTGAGTTAGATTGGTTGTTCGGATAAGAAATTCCTTTACATGATGCCCAACTTAATTATAATTGAATAACATAAAAATTATTCAACTCAACCTAATTGAACCTAACCCAACTTGCAAAAAATTAATTGGGTTGAATTTAGTAGTTAGAATTTGCAAATAGATCATTATTCACTTAATTTTTTTTTATTGATAATGTATGACCATTAAATTCAAATGACAATATTAGATATATAATTGAAGCTATACATGAAATAATCAAAATTAATGTGGGAAATTACTTTAAAATTATCTTAAAAATATGAGATTCCTAATAACTAAAATAAGATTTAAATAGCCAGCATACCAATTTAGCTAAAATAATCACCAATTACCATACAAATTTTGACATATAAAGGTTTAAATCAATTTTTTTCTTTATAGACTCTAAAAGTATATAATTCTTTTAAAATAAAAGTATACTATTTAGCTAAATCGATTTTTTCTTTGTAGACAAAAACAAGTAGTGTTTTGATTGTATTTTATGAAGTATTCCAAAAAACAAGAGTCCTAGCTATATCGCCTAGTTATGTTAATATTGGTTGTTTATATATCAATTGTGTCTTAAGCTTTCAATATGGTTAGGAAAGGCATAGGGCTTCGTGTGCATGAATAATATAGTAAAACAAAACTACTAGTATTTTGTATTCACATAATTTGGTTTCATGTTGAATTCCATGAAATGCTTTCACGATATTGTGATAATTGGAACTCGATCCGTTTTTTTTTCTTAACTATATTATTATTGGTATAAATTACTCGCTAATTTTATTAATAACTAATCTTCACCAAAAAAAATATATAACTAATGATTATTTTTAATAAGTTTTTTTTTCTAATCGTATTCCTTTTCATTCACAAGATTTAAAGTCAAAATCATGTTTGAAAAGACAGAATCCAACTCTCCTAGACCATCGACTTGTTAATTGATTATTGATACACAACAAGACCAAAGTGGGAAACATTCTAGCTGAAACAATAATGCATATTGAATCCGTTTAAATACAAATTTAGAAGTGTTTTTTTTTAGAATTTTTTTAATAAAAAATTATTCTATTTTTTATTAAAAAAAAACTCTCAAAAATACTTCTAGTTTGTATTCGAATAATTTTTGTTCCAAAGGAAACGACTACCAAGGTCAGGAAGAATTAACCTCTTAATTTATAACCAAGGGAGTGATATAAGAAGGCTACTTCGTTCAAAATGCAAATTGCAAATTTTAACAACCTTTTTTTGTTTTTTTTTTTTAAACCTCAACCCAAATAGTTGGTATATATATATACACTTTTCCTTACATATAAATCCAACTCTAATGTTAGAACATAAATGGCGTCGGAGAGAATGTTGGTATGAGCGACGGCATCGCACCTGATCTGAAAATTAGACCAAAAATAAAGTTAATCTGTTAGTGGCTTCCCCAACAAATTAAAAGTTCAATTAATATTGAATAGAGAAATATATATAGAGAGAGAGAGAAAATAAGCAATATATCAATATGTGTGTGTAGATGGAAGTTACTATAGTCAAAATTTGAACCACTAATTTCTTAATCAACGATCACTTTACACTTTATTCTCCAATTATTTCAAACCCATCGATTACAATATTGATTAGTAAATACTACAAGAGTATTGCAAAATACGAATGGCTTTGATAAGACAAGTAAAAACTCAAGATAAGAACCAAGTATTTCATATGCATGCTACATATGTAAAGCACTGATGAAGTATATATTAATAGTCTTTCTATTATAATTAAGCTTTGCAAAAATACGAATGGCCATGAAATGACAAGTGGAACCAAGAATCTCATACATGTTACATATGTAAAGCACTGAAGTATAAAGTATTAGTATTGGTCTTATTAAAATAAATTAATAGAAATATTATAACTTGTACACTTTTAAATTATCTAAAATAAATATATTGCCCCAACCTCAGAGCATCATGATTCATAAATCAAAAGCTTTCTTCCTTTCTTTATTTTCTCCTTTCCCATTATTTGTGTGTTTATTCGTTTGAGGAAGCATCAAATCGTTGCCTCATTATTTTTTTTTTCTTTTCAAAGAGTTAGTATTTAATTGCCATGTAATAAGGTACATACACACACATATATATATATATATATATATATATATATATATATATATATATATATATATATATATATGTTTCAAAGAGTTAGTATTTAATTGCCATGTAATATATATATGCTTTCTTTTTATTTGGAAGGACAAGCAACGTTCGCATACGAAATTGACTAATAATAACTTAACTTTCGAAGTGACAAACTAGCCTATAAAACTTCTTATCTTGTTATCTACGAATGAAAAATTTATCTAATCTTTCATTGATATGATCTATAACCAATAACACTTGGCAATCATGTCCCATCAAACAATGAAACATTGAAACTTGCAAGTCTTACTTAACGTGTCAAAATTGTCAACAACATATGAAAATTCTTCTCTATACGCAGTTTTATAAATCGGGAAACTAGGAAAAATCTTAAAATTAATCTTTACTGTATTGAGTTTCAAATGAGCGAGCCATGTTATATGATGCAAAAAATATTTGCACTAAAACAGACGAATATTATACAACCAAGAAAAAGTGAGTAATGAGTATTATTTTTTAATATTACATTGGTAACTTTTTGTATTACAATAATTGATTCAATCAATTTCCCTTTTAAAAATTCAATCAAAATAGTAAGCTATTAATTTGAACTTTGTCGTGAAATTTGGATAACTTTGAATGAGTTGAAACTCCGCTATCATCACTAATATATATCTTGAATGCATAAAATAAAAGTTATCAGAGTTATACAAAACAAAAGTTGCAAAAGACACTAATAATCGTACTATCATATATAACACCAGTGCAACAATTGGCAACCACTCATGATCAATACTAATAAAAAAATCTTATATTTTCAACACCCTTAATATAAGACTTAAATTCAATTCTCGTGATTGTACACCAAACAAATATCATCAAATAACTCCTAGAAGAAAAAGTTATCTACCTACTTTTAAATTTCAATTTTATACCAGCTAATGTTTAGTATTAACATAGCAGCCACGGGCCCACTATTAATATCCTTAAAAAAAACATATTTTTTTTTCCATAAATAATTGTCACTCGGACAACAAAGTAATTAATGAAACCTAACGTCAGTAATCATCAATCAATTTTTATTTATAATTTTTCTATTTTTCTATCCAGTAGTTAAGATACGACCTGATTCGTCTATGTAGAAGTTCAACAAATTAATGCTCATAAATGCATCAAAATATTATTGCATAACTTTATTCAACAGTTCAATCATTTTAAATGAGCCAAATCTATTAAATATCCGAGTTAACAAGTGAGAAATAGTAAAATTTAAGATAAATCATTCTATTTTAATATTTCTATACCATTAATCATTCATAAGTTACTATAATTATAGATATAATTTTTAAGATAATTATTATATAGATAAAAAATTATATGCAATAATAATTTGTAACTCACTTATAATGTAACATTAATCGGTATATAACGCTACTTTATTAATTAAAAAGTTGGTAGAATTCACTTAAAAGTACAGTTTTACCGTTAAAGATAAAAATCCTTTACAATTTTTTTTATTAATAAGCTTACAGTTTTCATTCAACTGTAACGAAATGTAATCCGTTAAATTAAACCGCCAAAAAAGCTATTACGTTAACTGACCCGTAATTGCTGTCGCTGTAACTACGGAGGCGAACCTTCCCGCCACCGCCGCCGGGGCTCCTCCTCTTCGCATCCCTTCCGGTGGAGCTCGCCGAGCTGGTTCGAGGACTTTCCCTCTCCCTGGGCGAGTCCTCCGAGATGGGTCTCAGCGATGGCCTCCATTCTGCCGAACCCATTCGCTGTTTCTTTCGATAAGAGCGACGAATGAGTACGGCAGAAGGCGTCGCTGAGACCAGCGATGTCTCTTCTTCGGGAGGTCTCGTCAATACTGGCTTTGACTCACCCTGTACGGGCGAGCCACAGCAAGCGACGAACTCCAGAAGAAACCTCATTTCGAAGGCTTCTTTTTTCTTTTTCTTCTTTGGGCAATTTTGAGGAAAGAAAAAGAAAAGAGAGAAGGTGGGGTTGGGAGGCAAAGAGAGGTTGTGTGGCGTTAGGGAATGAAGAAGAGGGAGGGAAGAGAGTCCATTGCTAATATATTGAAATTGAGGGGAAAATGAGAGAATGAAAATGGGTTTGTTTGATTTGTGAATCGCCGTGGTTTGCAGTGAGGGAACCAATTTTATAGCGAGAGATGCGCCACGCTATTCTCCAACGAGCATTTGTCGTTATCCGTTACCTGTAACACTTTGCCTATTACTAATCGTGTCCTTAGGGCACTTTCTGCTGGCCTCATATTTTTTTTTTATTTTTCCCGATTTAATTTTGCTTCATTATAGAAAGAGAAAATACTGAATCTAAATGTGTTTATAATCTAAAGAGGGTTTGATAATGTTGGAAGATCATTATGAGTTATAAATATGCTGGTGTAGTGTCCACAAATTTAAATAAAGAGTAATGTTACTTGGTATGGATTTTATTTATAAAAAAAATATGTAATAGAGTTGTTGTCTATTTTTCATTGGTTGAAAATTAAATAAAAAAGAGATAAGCAGAGAGGAATTTTACATAAAACTGCAGAATTCATGATATGGGCTTTTCTTGTTTTCTTGTGTTTTCGTTACATACTATTAAGCATTTCTCTTAAATAGATAGAGTTAGTACTAAAATGGGTACATGAAAAATTTAGGTTGAATTCTAGATACCATTTATTTGCAAATGTGAGATATGACTTTCACTGATATAGTATTATTTTAACACACCATGTTGACTCTATGTGTCTTAAGTTTGATACTCGTATCATTTTTATAAATTTTTTTTATAAAAGAATCTACTAATGCATATTTTATATTGTCATACTATTAATTAGCCTATATGTTTTTTAAAATTTTATTATATAATTATCTTAAAATATTATACTTCACATAATTTTTATTGATTCACCCTACAAATATTTTTAAAATAACTGAATTCTTATAAAAATATTAAATTGTTTTAAATGGTTTATTTTAGTAAAATATTTGCTTTAACTCGTGAGTTGAATTCATTCATTTTTGTTTTCTTTATTGTACCACATAATATTAGGTGAATTCGGTGTGTTCTTTAAAAAAATATTGAATTCGCCTAATACAATAACTTCAAGGATATGGTATAGAAATAAACAAGAAGTTAAAGGTATCAAAATATATATAAGTAATTAACTTTTTTGTATTTATTAAAAGGTAGTAGTTCATAATACTAAGCGAGAAGATGAATTGTTAGGGAAATTAGGGATCTCACGAGGGGTGATAACATTTCAATAAAAAAAAATTAAAATTAAAATTAAATAAATTTAATATGTATCCCCAGAATTTAAATGTTATTATCTACTTATTTTATATGACAAGCCATGTTCACATATTATTGAATAGTGTGAGAAGATAAAAAAAACATATACTCAAAGAAAAATATTTCTTAATTTCTTTGGTCTTGCTTTTGTTATTTATTTTTTCTTGTGGTGTTATTTCGTCACTTTTTCGTGTAGGTAATTTCATATAATAATACTTGTAAAGGAAAGCGTAGTTTAACTAGTGTTAACCAAAGTTAAAATATTAATTATGGATAAAATATTTTTTTTCATTATCCATCAATTTGAATTAATAAAATAAAATATTAAATAATTTTAAATTTTTTAAAAATTTTACAAATTTAATTTATGTTATATTCAATTGTTGAATAGTTAAAATTTAATGTAGAACATGAGTTATTAAATGGAATAAATCTATATAGATTTACTCTTAAAGTAAACGAATTCTTTCTCTCTATATATAAGAGGGATCCACTTATTACAAATTTAATTTATGTTATATTCAATTGTTGAATAGTTAAAATTTAATGTAGAACATGAGTTATTAAATGGAATAAATCTATATAGATTTACTCTTAAAGTAAACGAATTCTTTCTCTCTATATATAAGAGGGATCCACTTATTCTTAAAGTAAGTTATCAGACTTACTCCACTCAATATAACTCTATATATAAGAGGGATCCACTTACTCTTAAAGTAAGTCTTCAGACTTACTCCACTCAATAACTCATATTTTATATCAAATTTTAACGATTAAATCATTAAATTAAATTTTTTAATGCATAAATCAAGTCTGCAAAATTTTAACAAAATTACAAATTATTTAATGCTTCATTTCGTATATACACACACCTTCACATCTCTACCAACTTTCAACTACTTAATGAATTAAGAGAGATAATTTTAATTAAAGTTATTTTTATAAAAAAATGTAATTAACACAAAAATATTTTTAAAATATAAAAAATAATAATAACACATTCGATTTAGTGCTTAACCTTATAAAAAATAAAAATTAAAAGGCGAGGAGTATCTTACAATACAAAAGATACTCCTCTATTGTTAAATTTATTAATAGTTACTATAGTTGCATATTAAAGCTACTTGGTCCTCTATTGTTTGATGCTTATCTATATATCAGTCGTTTTATTAACACATAATAGTACTATTGTATGCATTCATTAAGGATAAAACCTCCACTTGTTATGACTAAAACCTCAGTACCAATCAAACCGATTTTCAGGTTAAATAAATCATGAGTGCTCAACACCTTTTATTTAAAGATTTGATTGCCCACTTTCAACCTTAAACTTTATTAGCTAATTAGTAATATGTTATTTTTTTTCACAAAAAAGAAATGTCACTAAGCAAGTGGAATTTAAGATTGAAAGTGTGCAAGTGGAATTTAAGATTGAAAGTGTGCAATCAAATATCCATTTCATTGAGGTGGTTGTCACCATGTGACCCTAACAATTACTGTATTAAACTTTTCACTATAGCCTATCAATAATCTTGAAGCCATTAAATAATTTAAAATAAGAGTCACGTAGGTTCGCTATTGAATAACTTTTAAAATCCACGAAATGCTTGAATTTAGTTAATTAATGGATAATTTTGAACTCAAATTTTAGATATGTAAAACCATTATTTAAAGAAAATTTTGTTCTTTGTATAATAATCTTTTTTAACTTAAGGATAATTATATCTCGTGTAGGATATATTTGGTCTCTAATTTACTAAATTTTTTATTTAGATTATATTAATAAAAGTAAAATTCTAATTAAATTCACTTCTATACATTAAATATGATTAATCATATTGTGTGAGAATGTACATATTGACTTCTTTTTAAAAGAGAGATTATTCTGTCTTTTTATTTAATGAGAGGAATTTTAAGAATTTTTTTATTTTTTCAATTTGTATTTATGATTATTTCAAAATTACATTTAATAATTTCAAAATAAACTATCAAAAATTAAAAATAATCTTGCGTCTCAATATATATTAGTTTTTTTTATAAATATAAAATATAATTTATATGTTTAAAAATATTTATTCATATAAAATTTAAATTAATATAATTTATATACTATGACTATAGTTTTTATTAATATGTATAATTTATTATAAACTTTATTTATATATAATAAACATTTAGTGTGTAGAATATACTTACTAAAATACTAATAATAAAAGAAATAACAATTTTATATTATTTATTTATAATTACTATATCTTTAAATTATGAACAAT